TCTTGCAAATTTTTGGTATAAAAACTATCCTATGTTTTTTCTGGATTTCAAAACAATGTCAGGTTCAGTAGTTTAGGAGTGAAGAAAAGACAGACAGCTTTCGCATTTATAATATTAGTTTGGATTTGGATACAACATCGCCTTAGGATCACCATTACAGGTCTGCATTAATAAAGGCTGTAACATGCAATGATGCTCGGAGCTAGTGTCGTGGTATTGTAACATATCACGTTGTTCTTGCAAAAAGTAGGGAAGTTGTGTCACTTCTCAACTACACACCGTTATAATAAGAAAAAAAAATTGTCTTTAAGCGGGCAAATTAATGTATGGAAAAAATATACGATAATACAAAATGCGGCCAAACATGGTAACCAAAACATTAATGTTGAAACGAGACACTAAAAACATAGAGTCGAAAATAAAATTGAATCTAAGTTTTTCAGTCATGACTATGTTTCAACACCAGAACAGCTACTTACAGGTGCATTGCTAGCTTTTTGGACATTAGGGTTTCGAAGATTTAGGAATTGGCTAAGGATTGCAGAAAGGAAATAATTGGGGCACCGGTAACCTCACTCACACGGCGAAACAAAACTCTGTGATTGTTTTTCACTGGTTTTCTGTGAGGCCGTGGTTTCACTCCGGTCGAACCGACTCGTTCGTGCCGGAGCATGACTCTCCCACACTTAAAACCTTGTTTTAATTTATTTGATAATTTACTATTTTTGGATTACAATGATCTTATTTGAAGTCATATTCCTTCTTGGTGATCATTTATTATTTTTATCTGTTATAATAATACATGTTACTATATCTGTTGCTAACTTAAACATCATCCGTTCGTAATTATTTCCATCTTTTTATCCATGTTATGTCTATTCTAATACAATTCCTAGAATCTAGTATGCCAGTGGGTGTCTACTTAAGTCACATATCTAAAATATGTCGTCTATTTACAGAATACATTTATAATCTCCTTTCCGCTCAAACAGACGGCCATAACGAGGTGATATCTCCACTTCATTCCAGTATAAAAACATCTAGTTACAACAAGGTTTTAAAAAACAATATTTTGATAAATCCAATGACACATATACAAATATTTAGTAAGTTCGTAACATTAACATGTAAACAAGAGATATCAGATAAACGGAACTTAAGAATTTTCCAGTGATACGTTCTGTCCACTACTTAGTTTGTTTTTGATAGTAACACTATCATACTTTCTTGTCCAACGTAATTGCTACGTTCGAGGACAGGTAACTGGTACATTTCCATTCAAACCGTAATCCGTATCTCTTTAGCAGGTAATTATAATCCAACTTGATCTATTTATTTAGGTTAACCGATGGCCCCGCTCGGAAATTTTTCCTAACAAATTAGGAAGCAAGATTGACAATTTAATTTTTCCGTATTTTTTTAAAATTTTGTTTTGTTTATCATATGATGGTAAAAAGTTAAGCACAAGAAGGGCTTGAATAAAGTAACAAGTTAGTATAAAGCTAATTTTGTATTTATCCTTTCAATTGTGGTAATTCGAAACACAATAGAAGACCAATAGGTCCGCGAACGTTCGTTCGCTGGCGTTCGCTTGGGGTTTGATGAATTGAAACGTTTCTCCTCAATTCCGAAATCCCCAAACCCCATACCACTTTTCCTCAAAAGGTCAGCAATTCACTTGCAACCTTTGATATTACAAATATATGCAGGTTTCGCCGATTGCTTGCAGAAAGATAGCCAATTTTTATTAGGTGCTGCACCTAATAAAAAAAAATTGCGAGGACAGACCATTTTGCTTCTAGATGCTTTGACCTCGTTACACCCACGGAGGACGCGTAATGGTTAGGTTAGAACTGATTGCAATAATATGGCATCTACCCCCATTTTAGTTTGAAATAAATAAGTATTGAGTTTCTATAATGCAAAATACCACTTAATGTTCGACGGGAACGAATCGTTAGCATTTCTAGACGTTAATGTACATTCTGCATGGTATTTATTATTCTCAATGAAATAACATAACAATTTGAAAGAAGAATCTGCCGTTGTTCTACAAAAAACGAAAAGCATATAGTCTTATATACTAACTAGAGTCAAGACAATCCTTTCCACATCTGTAGAAAATATAACGAGCTCAAGTTGGCAAGAACAAAAGAGGTTTTTAGTAGCAGAGTGTAGTCTAGCTAACAGTGCAAGCTTATGCATCCCTAGTCGATAATTAGGATAATAGGAATAGCAAATAGAATACAAACAAATGGTAACAGCAGACACAACAGTAATTTGTAACTGTACCGCGCACTGAATGTCTGCCATGTTTTGTTAGTACGTTTGTTCCAAGTTTTTTATTTCTTGCTCTTTTAAGTTGGTACAACTGGGTATTTGTTGTAATAAATCTTTTTCTTACCTTCGTGTGCAATTAGGGTTAATTGTTGATTTTATGAAGGAGGTTGTGAAGAAGGTTGCTATGCGATATGAGTTCATAATGATGACTATGTTGAATACTGTTTCTTTAAAGAATATGATTTCAAAGCAGACTGCAGGTAAGGTTGAATGAGTTTGAGAAGTGTGAAGGTGTGTTCTTTATGTTTATACCTAATGAAGGAATCAAGATTTGGCTAGTAGGTAATTAAACAAGAAAGGAGGTTGTTGCATGTTTAAAGTAATACGGCTACAAATCGAGACTCTCTTTCGAGTAACATAAAAAAGGTCGATAAATAAAAACCATGAAATATTATCACAATATTTTTTAATAATTAATTAAAAATTATTCATAAATATTAATCTTAATATTTACTTAGTAATATTCACAAAACATTGCATTCCGGTTGAATAATATAATATTTTATATATTTCGCTTTTATTGTAAAATGGCACGAGAATCGTGAGACATTCGGAATGTTTGTAAAATCACATTTGCTTTACAATATAATAAAATAATAAATATTTTACTTAAAGGTAATATTTATGTCTACTTCGCTCCTGCCATGATTAAATACTCTTTTACTACAAATAAATTCGATATTTTCGGACAAAATTCCAATTTACTTTTCGATTTAAAATAAAAATTCGTGTTGGTGATTGGTTTTTGATCGTTATATTATCGCCGAGTAAAAGCAGTGATTCAATTTACCTAATATTAAATGCTGTGCGGTCTAAGTACGTATTTGAAATAAAATTAATATCTACACATTCTATTTATAAAAAGATTTTCTAGTAAGTACAACTTTTATACTTAAGTTTAGTGCCAAAAGGTTTATTTTTAATCAGCTCAATAGAGTAATAAGAGGATGGCAAGCAGATTCAATATCGAAGGGTTGTCAACAGCCCGTGGACAGCATGGAATCATTTTTATACTGAGAGTTACAGTAACATATTACACCAACTTAGATGTAATATACGTATAATTTATAAAATACAGTTAATTTGGTTAGCAATTATATTTAATTGTAAATTAAATTAATTTTATAGTTTTCTTCACCCACTCACAAATTGATTGTCATGTAGCTTTTATTAACGAAGAATATCTCACTCTTCATATATCGGTAATACACACTATTTCATTTATCTCTACATCAAAATCTTCACAAAGAAAGCTTTTAAAGCATTAATTTTGAATCTTGTTCACGGCAATCAATAGGTGCTTTTATGCAGAGCAAAATCATAACAACGCGTTATAATGCTCTGAAATTTAGTACAGCAATATAATACATAAAGATATTTTCATAGAGTCGAAAATAACGTTAACTACAAAAGTTTGGGAGAGAAGTTAGAACAAGTTGGTTACAAAAATATTGCAAAGAGCCTTAATGAAGTGCAGTTACTGACACGAGGTACAATCGACGAAATATATTAGCGACGAGTTCCTTTTTTTTTCTTGGAGACATTTATTGTCATTAATTTAATGAATAGATGTTATGCTAAAACTTAACATATATTTTTAGTTATGCAATATCGTGATTAAAATTGGCATAACTACGGCGGTTCATTGCTACGCTATCTAAATCGAGATATTCAAAATATACCATACCATATAGCATCGGCATAAAGAACAATTTCGCAAACCAGAATTCATTTACATCAATGCAATACAATTATGCAACTAATGATACATTTAAATAATATGAAAGATTTAAAAGATGTAACACACCAAGTGAAATGCAGTAGTTTACAACAACTCGGGGAAAAAATCCCGCAACTCGTCCGTTGGAGTTACGAGTAGTTGTACACAAAACTATTTGGTCGACTGTACCAAACTGTCCGGGCCGTTCTAAACAAGGAAAAATAATAGCCAACCCCTGTTCCAGTTACCAGTTACCGGGAGTACAAAAACTTTTCTAACTAGTGACGAGCTACAATCCATTTATAAAATGTTTAGCTTGGAACTTATTGTGGCTTTAGTGCTGTACCCACACGCTAAGCGACTTGGTTTTAAATGAAACTTTAAATATAAGAATTTTAAACCACAATTTTGATTAACACTTTTGTAGATACATTTATTATGACGTAACAATGCCGGGTAGCGTGAAGCAAACGCACTAATTTCAATGATTCTATCTTTCTATCAATGATCTATTGTAAAAAAAAACCGTCACTGTAAACATTCATTCGGTTTTAGGATTCATACAAAAAGTAGTGTAAGAGAGATTCTATAAACATTCAACTGTTATTCAAGAATAAATTCGTTTTTATATCCCTGTGAATTGTTACAAGCTGTTTTGAAACTTGGGATATTTAACAAGGACTAACATTACAGTTACTTATAATATGTTTTGTACTTGTTCTGTTGTATAGATATTTGTGGTAAATAAAGGCACTTTCAATCCTTATAATAAATGTTTCATGTAATAAATAACAGCGTATACTATAATAACCTACTTAAGTATCGTGTATAAAATTAACGCAGGCACTTCTCACTCTTCAAGTAATATTATCCATCACATTTAAACTGTTAAGTAGATGCTCCATCTAATATTGTTGGCACATAACAAATTGAATACGAATAACAGTAGAACCAAAATAATTATAACATTTGAAACCTCAACGTTCGAGAACAATTCGGAAACTTTTCTAGTAGTGCTAAATTGAATTCTTTGGTCTATAGCTCTCGCTATAACAGTTAATAACTACGATATAATACAAAGAAGACAGAACGACAAATTAGGTTCTCTGCGGAATGTCGCCACGTAGCGCGGACGGAGAATTAAGTACTGCATAACATTAAAGTACTATGTATAACGAACAACTTAAAGTGTACAGAATTAAATAACTTACAAAATACGTATACTTTAGAAATAATGTACTTTGTCACAATGTAATCTTAACTCTGGCCATTTCGTCCTCATCTTTCTCATACACTACTTTATTTGGCGAATACAGTTTCTCTTGTATTGCCGCGAAAGACTGTCCTTTAGTTTCAGGCAGCTGCAACAATATAAATATCACACCGAGCACTGACAATGCCCCGAAACCCCAGAAGGCGACATAGTTCCCTAAATTATCCGCCACCACTTGATACAACTTCGTTACCGCGAACGTCATTAATGCCACAAATATCTGGATAACACAAGTCGCCTTTGATTTAATGTTTGTGGGGAATATTTCCGAAGTGATAGCGAAGGGCACCGTAGCTAAACCTATAGTATACGAGAATATAAATATGGGTATCACAACGATAGGAATGAACTTTAAACTGACGAGGTACTCGCTGTTCTGGTGTTTCATGAAGAAGTACGCTCCGATAATGACGTTGGCTAATCCGACGCCACACGAAGATATTAACAGAAGAGGTTTCCTTCCCAGCCTGTCCACAAGTTGTGACGACATGGCTGATGTCAGGAGTTGAACAGTCCCGAACAATATGCAGGATTCTTCAGCTCCCAAGCCTCCCTCAGCTGCTCCAAATATCTGCTGCGCGTACGATATGATCGCGGTGCTGCCGCAGAATTGTTGCGTGAAGTATATGCCCATCAGAATGATGAGGCCTTTCCTGTTCCCTCCTACATAGAACAGGTCTTTCCATCGACCCTTTTCTTTCATGTTCTCTGAGACCAGATTGTTCATACTTTCCAATTCATCTCTAACGTAGCTGCGACCTCGGAGCTTCTTGAGTGAAGCTTCGGCTTCTTGCTTCTGGCCCTGTTTGATGTAGTAGTATGGTGACTCTGGCATGGTGCTGAAGGTCACCACGAATAGAATCGGGATGGCGATGTTGAAGCTGGCCAGGCCCAACATGGACACGTACGGTCCGATGCAATACTGAGACAGGATACCGAACTGGAATAGAACATTTAAGTGTTTAAATTCACGTTTTGAAATATTCATACAAAGGAATGATTGTCTGAGAGAACTCGAGTTCTTAGAGACATAGTGGTTTTTAATTAAATGCCATTTAATTTTTTCTCGTTAATAAAGTAAATGAAATAAGCCTAGTTGAATATCAAATTAATTACTAATTTCAATACTTGTTTGTAAGAACCTGCATACAACGTGTCCTCAGTTCTTAAATATATTTACATTAAAATTATTATTGATTCTTTTGAAGGTCGACACGACTTGTTTTAAAATTGTTCGAAGCAAAAAATATGTTGATGATACATTTTTTTGTGTATTTATATTTTTTGTAGCTAGACCTGCAAAAGTGATTCATGCTCGTTTGAAAAAAGTGAATGGTAATCATTTTGGGTTCCTGTGAAGTCAATGCAATATCGACGTTTAGCGGGTTCTTAGCGGTTTATTATACAACACATGCAAATTACTTACGAAAATGTAATAATTTGTTAAGTAAATTGCAAAGTACATTTCTGTATGAGTTTTAAAAATATGAATTTTACGTACAATGACGTTTTAATGTTAATGGACTAATGTCCAAGATCGTGCTATTTTTTTTATAAATGTGCGAATAATGTGACTGCTCATTTAATAACAAATTCTATTGTGTACCATTGACATAACTGATTAACGGTTAAGTGAAGATATATAAAAGTCATTAACTAAACAAAATTACTCATCTGTCGCCAGACATGGACGTCACAATAAAATGAATGTTACGATGACTTAATTACTCATTCATACACTTGAAAATATGACCGTAATTTGGATAGCAGACTGACCTTCGACATGACAGTGATGAGTGTTGCCATGGCGCCTCTGACGTCATCGGAGGCGATTTCGCCAAGGTACATAGGCGCGGTGGTGTATGCAATGCCATACCCCAGGCCTGAGATGAGACGGGACGCGTATATCGTGGGAACATTGCCTGCAAACATCACCAGTATCCATCCAATGATGTAGGGCACTGAAGCCAGAAGTAAAGTCTTCTTGGTTCCGATCCTGTCTGCGAGGTACGCCGCAGGAATAGGACTCGCGGCTGGAATGAGAAAACCATACAATGATGTAAGCGGAACGAACTGACTCATAGTTGTGTTTGCTATGCCTTGACCTAGCTCTTGCGGTTGATAGTGTATAATACTTTTAAGGAATTATTTTTATAAACGTCATTTATATGATTAAAAGTTAACCTACATTTCATCTATATTTAGAAAATTATCCAATTTACACTATAAAATTTTATTGTCAAGTACTTAAACAGGAATCAAGGTTAATCATGGACATCCGATCGGCTTGTTGAGTACGCACATTTTTATGTTATCTATAGTCTCAAGTTTCTGATGGCAGGCCCCATCCTTTGGGTTGACCGAACAAGAAGGGAGAGGGGCAGGGAATCGCGGTCATGTTACGACTTCGATTAATGTCCTTACTAAGTATGTGATGCCTTTGGAAGACTTTAAATTATCGTGTACTAAATTTAAACTAGCACAATTTACGATTAATCGTAATGGTTTCAATGACGCAGTATAATTATAGTTTATTTAGGCATCACCAACATTATCTGAAGAAAAACATGGTGACAAAACGTTGTGGTAAAAGGAAAATGAAAATGGAAATCTCCTTGAGTTAGTTGTAATACTTTAAGCAAGTGTCGTGGCCGATGCTTATTCCATCTCCATGTAAGAAGAGTCTGATTAGCACACAGATGTAGGTCAATTACAGGCTGACGATGTATGTATGTGCGAGTAATTAGGTAGCCCAGTTATGGACTGTTTATTAACTTGTTCTGTTATTGTATTTACTTTTAGAGGTGTGCTGATGATCACGTCGGGGTCACCAGTTTAGAGGTATGAGAGAACAGGGTGGACAGTTCCTCATCCTCCATTGAAAAGGGAGGATCCTCCGACCAGGCGAGGTGTTCGTGCCTGGTGGGCTACTGCCCGTTAAATGATTTCGGGTTTTTTCTATTTGTTCCAATCGTGCGGATAATCTTGCTTGCGCAATGCAGGATTTTGTGACGACATTGATGTTGCTACATACTCTTTAAAAGCATGACCTCCTTTATTTCTCATCGAATTACTCGTGAAAATCACATGACTTCCAACTTTCCATCGATTGGGTCTAAAGTTCTCAGACAGAGAGTTCATTGTTAGCTGTAACTAGTAGCTACTGATCAAACAAGGAGTTATTGACCCGTTGCCGTTTGAACGAATTAGTCACTACGTGATGTCAGCTAGTATCTATGTTTCTTCTCAAATGACTGAGCTGAATGAAAATAGGTTTGTCTAAAAGTAGTTTTTTACCTATTTTTAGGTTCTAGAATCTATAATGAACTTTGTACATTTTAAATTGCCTTCGCCATTGTTCTATAAAGAGGAATGTAATTTCGTATATTATCCTACATGCTTTTGTATTTTTTAAAAGAAGCCTCATTCTAGGGTTTTCTCCTGTGTCGTGGTTGCATTTACGAACATACGATATCACACATTATACATAGAATAGAACAACAATTTGTGGATCACACAAAGAGTTGTTCAGTAGAGTTTTCCGTGTGGGAATCAAACTTAGCTTTTGGTTTCGTTAAAATATTATATTATTGATAATAAGAAAGTATTTCATCATCATTATCTTCATCAGGCTATAAGTGCCCACTACTGAGCAAAGGCCTCTTCTCATACGGAAAAGGTTGGAGTATTAATCATCACGCTTGCTCATTGCGGGTTGGCGATGTCAAACTTATAATTAGAAATTATAAGTCCAGGTTTCCTCGCGACGTTTACCTTTACCGCAGTGGTGTCTAAATAATCATAGAAAGTACCTACATATAACTCGGAAAAAGTCACATTGGTACTTGCCAGGTTTAGAACCCACACATGAGAAGCGGGCTCCTTAACTTTCGAGCCACCACGACCGACAAAAATATACAATAACAAAATACAGAAAGTATTTACCTGAACATAATATCATAATTGAGGCGATCCATGAGCTCTGATCTGGTGACGTCACTATGGGTGAGTCTGGGGCAAGTAGGATGGGCAGAGTAGGCGACGTCCAACCCACAGTCGTGCCAGCCGCCGCCGTGATCAAAGTAGCTGGAAAATTCAAAATAGGAAATTAATTGGCGTTCTAATTTTAAAATTAGGCGCTCTTAATATAAATGAAATATTTATTTTAAGTAAAATCTATTTCGACTTTGTTTTTTAGAACAGAAAATGTGTAGAATAGATTTATAACATTAAATAATATGTTTATGTTGATCCGAGAAATGCCCTTAAACTACGATATTTGCGACCAGCAAAAAACTGCCATCCCCAGTCTATGCTTGGAGATTATGCCTGAGTCCTTTTCAAGAAGGAGGTCACATTCACGGAAGATGTAGAATTAAGTTTAGTTAAAACAAAAATATATACAAAATCCAATAACTTTCTAACATCTTATCGATTTATAGTTTACGGATAAAATAATATAGTAAAATAGAAGGTAAATGTACATTTCGACTAGATCGATGTAAATATTTTGCTCTGATAAAGCTTATCTATTAAGGAAAAAGGAGCGTGGCTAATAGTAAGGGATAGATAATAATAGCAATCAACGTAGCTAATAATTAGCCTGAGTTATTTTTACCTTAAACCGTTCACGTTCACATAATGTTTATCGTAAAATATACTAGGTGACAATCTCCTTATACAGTCAAGGAGTAGATATTTTTTTATCTCAACTTTAGGGGTTTTAAAAATTATAAAAAATAACATTAGACCTGATCGAAAAAGAAATGTGGCTAAAAGCCTAAAGTTTAATGTACTTTTGGCTATAACGTTAACATTTGTACGAATCTGGTTATAACCAGTTCAACCCAACCTAGTTGGGAAAAAGCCAGAACAGAGAAAGAACACGATAGAAGGTGTTGTTAACTGAACGAAAGTAAAACCTCATTGGTAAATAACCCTTACAGCTATGAACATAAAGGTGAAAATTTCACCTAATCATTTCCACATTTAATGTGGAAATGATTAGAACAATGTCATAAAAAAAATGTAAACAAAACGTAAAATAAAAATACTACATTTTTCTCTCGAAAGTTCTTTTTACGAAATTTGAATTGAATGGCTGCCAATTATGATTTTGAACAACCTGAATAAATTTTCTTATTTTATTAAATACACTTTCTTAAAGAAAACGTCCGCAAACCTGAAATAAAAATTACGTTCCTGGCCGTGGTTAATTAGTTAACCTCGGGCTCCTAGTTGCTCGATGATTAATTATCTTTTCTTATTAGGCTTCCCAGTTTTATCATTAATCATATTTCTATGTTAACCTGGAATTCTCGATACTAACGGAGTACGGTTACTGTGGAAATTTTACCTTCATTGGCATACAATTATATTTTCTTAAATAATTTTGAAAATGAAATTAAAATTCATTTATTTTGATGATTATTATTGTATTTATGGAATTTGGTTGTTATTTATTGTATTTATATGAATGTACAAAATTCATATTATTGGTAAAGTCTCGATTTTGATTGCTTCTGGTACCTACATACCTTTAACTTCTCTCTACATCACCCAAAGGATGGACTGGCAAGAGAATGCTTGTGCAGCATATAGTCCACCTAGTGCATAAATGTTTGCGCAAAATCTTAAATAAATAAATGCATTTATTATGTATTTTTCTCTTATACTCTTTATCAATTTCTAAAGCTGTTGGTGTACCTTTTTTTAAATAAATAAATAAATAAATCAATATTAATTTCGAAATACTGTTATAATGTAATTATCGACTTTTTTGTCAACACTTCAGTGCTATTCAGTTTGCTAAGTACACAATACCAATTATCGAGTTTTGGAACGAGGTACCGGCAATGTCAGGTTATTTACGAAAAACCATACGGTGTTCGTAATCTTTCTATATTTTCTTTTCCATTGTAGAAAGCCAGATATTTTTCGTTTAGAATCTATACTTTTATCCACATTTTTTAAGTTAAGCAAAGATAAAGGTACCTTATTCTCGACATTTCGCGTCAATGAAAACCTGTCTCCTCTCTTGGTCAAGCATTGATGCTCACAAAGAAGGAGGCGGAGCGGGTGAGGAAGTTATCCATCCTCCTTACGCCAAACATGTTTAGTCGGGGTTGCGGGGAAAGCGCAATAACGTACTGAATAAAAAAAAATAAGGTGCAGTTTCTTCTCCAGCTCAGTAAGAGTCTGAGACTCACTCTTACCTCACACGGAGTGAGAGAAGGTATACAATAACTTTCCCCTAAAAAAAAACCCTATTATTCTCATTTGCAATTAAACAATCAACACATTGTCGTGTTTGTTCCACGTACAACTTATTATTATTATTCAAAACAAATGACTGATAGTAAGTCCGTGTCTTCTTATAAACATTGAGGTACGAAAACAAACAGAACATTTAGATACGCCATTATTGGATGTGTTTTCCTACAACTATGGCTTTGTTATCTATTCATAAACGGGTCCTGCATAAGAGATACGACATATGGTTTTTTTCCCGCATTGATAATATTATGTTGAATACATTTTCATGCTGCATAATCTTTCCTAACTGTAAATGTTGATAAAGGGGAATTTTTGAGTGCGCACCGATGAAATTCTGGGAATGACTCTGAAGTTCAGCTTAAAGATTTTTATTGATCTTTATTTTATACCTTTACTTCAAATAGCCGTCATGTACCAGATGAATTTGAATATAGGATGTCATTTGTATGAAATATGTGCTAATAAGTTTATAGAGCGGATGTTAAGGTGGTGATGTATGTCGTCTTAATCATGGATATTAAATTTTACTAAGTGTCTTAAGACCTGACTTTTTTACATCATTTAAACTAGTGCTTGACTGCAATCAAGCATTAGCATGGGCATGTTGTAGCGTCTATTTTCTGTTTTATCTGTTTTAATCTTTAACTTATGTTTGTCTTACTTCTACTGTCACAATTTTTTTGTCTTTTTAAATGCTGCATCGTGCCTGGTGCTGAATAAATGTATTTTCTTTCTTTCTTTCTTTCTTTCTTTCAATCCCACCTGACTGAAAGCAGTGACTAAAGGCCTTTGCACACGGAGGAGTAGCAGTTTTTAACATGGGCATCTTTTAAACGGTAATCACCAATACGTTTGCGAAAGGTGGATATTATGATAAACTTTCTTATGTAGAAGGAAGAAGAAGAAGGCTTGTAGTCAAGCGGTACTATATTAGCCAACCAATGCTAGGCGTGAACGGTCACCAGGGAAGATAGTGACCAGATTTAAAGCTAATGTTTTTTAATGTGTACAGCAACGTGCTTGGACACCTGCAATACCAGAGGAGTTAAAGTTAAGTACTATATAGTTAAGTATAAGTGATTTTTTAGGGAAAAGGAAGAGATGGGGAGGGTAGGGGAAGAATTAGTCCCATTCGAACCGAAGCATAGCGCTCCCACACAATGCAAATAACAAAATGGATTGACACGGGTCGATAATTTCGTATGATGATGATGGTGGTAAAAGAGCCGTAGATGAATTTCGTATATCGAAATAAAGATTAGAATTAACTGGACAATATTAGATTGCCTTACTGCAAGTATCTATATGTATAAGCAAAATGTAAGAAATCTTCTTTGAGATATTTCTAATGTTCTATTTATATTGTTATATAAACCATTGACAAATAATTCTCATTTGTATAATGAACAGAAGGAATAAATCCGATGTATCTAAGAGTTTTTTAATAAATGCTTTTCGTATTCTATTCATCTACCTAAGTGCATTAAATATCTCTCTCTATTAATACATTCATAAAATAATCAAAGCTTCGCATTTTCTCAGCAAATTAATTCGAAATATTTTGAAAGATACATTTTCTTAAATTACAAAACTTGATTGAATTTTTCAAAGCTAAAATTTTCACCTAATATATTATTTTTAATTACTTACTAATTGTTTATCAAAACTAATGTAAACTTTAAAATAATATACATATAACGAACAACAACAAAACCATTACTCTTAAAGATATCATTCAAATAATATTGTGCTAGTATCTAAAAACCGATCAATCTAATTTGATCTTAAACACGAGGAGAGAAAAAAGATAATTGTTTACACACATAAATACTAACCTGGACTTCTAAATATAAATACTCTTATGCTAGAACAGGTGGATCTAAAAATAGATTGTGCCACGTAGTTTTCTGAACCATAGCCGGCTATTAGGAGTAGTGCAGCGTCTATTACAGATAAACGGAAACCAGGTGCAAAATGTTAAAAAAAATATAGAAAAAGAGTATTTTTGATACATTTGTGTAACCAGAGAGAAATTAAATTCGATTTTTATCGGAGCCGTCCAATAGCGAGTTGGCAACATTGATGACTCATGTTTTTAGTTATTTGCGAGGAACAGGTAACCTTGTTTTATAGCTGAACATGACCAGCCGATTTTTTTGCATAGTTAACAATTCTTTTTTGCAAAACGTCGAATTATCTTTGAAAACAGCCATAAGCAGCATTAAATTCAAAAAAATATATTTGTAATTAACGAGTAAACGTCACTATACACTCTTTCTATATCATCCCAAAATACTTACGTTCAATTAAATCGTAGTCAGTTGAGACAAACTAGTTGAAGTATAAAGGCCCAAAGAAAGAACATTTAAAAAAATATATGATATGCGAGCGCAGGGCAGAATCAAAGTATCCAAGATTTTTTATTTTCTATGTTCAGTTGTAATTTGTTGTCCCTGTAACTAACTATTGTCCAGTTTTTCTATGTAGGTACTATATATTTTTAATAGATGAATTAAAACAAAATGAATAACAACGTGGTTTGATGTGTTCGTTTTTTATGATACAATTTTATGTATGAACTGAATCTTGAAAAAATTAAAAGGAACGTCGGATAACGGCCGATCAAACCTGGGGGCTAACCATGACGTACAAAGTAAGATTTGTTGTTTGTTTATGTTAATTATGTTTTAATCTTACTTTAGTGTGAGTAAGAGAAAGAGCTAACAAGTTATGTAGCTCTGTCTCTGTCCCTGGCCTGACTTAGGCCACAGATTAAACATCGCAATTTTATAAATAAGCCATTATTATGT